TTCAGACACAGAGAGAATATGCAGAGAATCACATTATCTCTCTTCTACATGATAATGAATTTTAAGTGACTGATAAATATTATTACATCTGTTTCTGCTGAGTTGAATAGTATAATATTGTCAGCCTGTAATCTCACTGATCTATTATCACTCTATACAGATAAACAGAGTTCACTATTAAGTGAAAGATTAAGATTATCATGAGTGAGTATCTGATCTCTGTGCATCTAGTTTCTCTCTGAGTTATAAGTAAAACATGCAGTGTCAGCTTCTCTGAGAAAATTAATTCTATCTCTTATTAGATTATGACAGTGTGTTCTGTCTTCAGTATCATACAGTTTCTGTGAAATTGTCAGTATTTATCAGATTCTAGAAGATGATTCAAAGCCTTTCTTAAAGAAGATATCTAATTGCTATACAGACTTATTGAGAGAATTATCAGCTCTGATATCTGTTCTGTTGATCTGAGTTGAATAATTCATCTGCTGACAATGATTCAGCTTCTGTCTTTGAGCAGTGAGTGTGACTTTCTTGATATAAAAGCTATTTCATACTTCTGTCAATCTGCTTCTTTCATCTGTCAATTATTTGAGATTCTCTTGAAGTTTGCTGACATGTTCATCAATGAGAGTAGTACACTTATTTAACTGCTTCTTTCACTGATTAAGCTGATATTCATATTCATTGAGCTTACTCTCTTATCAGGTCAGTCAGGCTTCTAGCTGTTCTAACTTCTCAATTATATCTAGTATTACTGCTTCATCAGAAGTAGTACAGTTCTGACAGTTGAATTCATGAAAGCTTGAGACTATCAAATCTCTCTTCTTAGTATTCTTTGTAATGTCTGTGTGAAAGATCTGTAATCAGAGATCAATGACATTCTTTCATTTCACTATTAGAGCAGAGTTAAGAGCTGTTTTTATATCATTATAACATCTGACTGATACATTCATAAGAATGTCTTTCACTTTGATATAATTATACAGTATCACTTGACTTTTAATACTCTTATATTATTTATCTGTGTTCTGCCAGACTTCTATAATTATAATAGTATGCTTTTCAGTCATTGCTTATGAGTAAGTTCATTCTGAGTTAGATTCATCAGTGAATTCTCAGATAAGTCATTCAATTCTGTTAATAAGCTTATTCAGTTCAGCAGAAGAAAGTGACTGATAGAAGCTACTCTAAGTGATTCATCTGTTCTGCTTCATTATCATGATAAGACTGATAAAGTTATATAAGAGTGTAAAGATAAGTTTACTGTGACTGTGATCACATTCTAGACTGATTACTAGTGCTATGATGTTCTGAAGTAGAAGATGCTTAAATGATTATTAGCCAGATCTATCACTAGCTGTAGTATTGAATAAGATAGATTTAAATAACTGCAGATCAGATCAATCACTAGCTGCAGCACTGAAGAAGATAGAATAGCTGAATAATTATAAGCTAGATTAATTACTAGCTGCAGTATTAAAAGAAGATAGAATAACTAATCAGATTAATTATCAGCTAGTCAATTCTCAGTATTCACAGCTCAGTTCAATTATCAGTGCTACATATATCAAGAGCAGAATGAAAGTTAAAGAGACTAGAAGAACTTAATTCTTAACAAGTCATACTATCAAATTATAGTGTACACCGCTACATAGAGGTCAGATATAAGGATAAAAACTCATCTTATTCTCTAAAAGATGAGAGATGAGTGTACACTCTTATATATACAGTGATTGTTTTATAGAGATTAACTCTTGTAGAAGAAGTGATTGTCTATGAAGAGAAGAACAGAGGCTCTGTAGAGAAGAAGCTGATGCTCTTATAGAAGAAGTGATTACATATGATTATCTATGAAGAGAAGAACAGAGGCTCTGTAGAGAAGAAGCAGACACTCTCATAGAAGAAGTGATTGCATATGAAGAGAAGAGCAGAGAGAGAAGATAGAAGCAGAAGCTTCAGAAAACAGTAAGAAATGAAGCAGAAGCTAGAGCCGGATAGAGGATTGACTTGAATAGAGAGCGGAAGCACGCCACAGTACACTATCACATTATTCAGATATATTATTACAAAGATATTCAGATATATATAAAGTATTTTATTAATAAAAGACTGAAATACTGCAGAGATATTAGTCAGATTAAAAGATATTACTAAATATTCAAATAATCTCAGTACAGTTCTAAAGATAGTCTTTTATTTATTTTCAGACTGTATTTACAGCTATATATATATATTAATTATATTCAGTTATATAAATATAACAGCTTCTGTAAGATGATTAATTATATTCTTAATTAGAAATAGAGAATAGTAACTCTTTATTATCTTAAAGTTCAGATTATAGTAGTTTATATATAATCTGAGATTTTTATTCTTCTTCTTTATAAATATTACAGAGACTTCTATAAAGATTTATAAAGATTAAATAAAGTTATTCTTCAGATTCTTTTTTATATAGATTTATAAGATCTCTATCTTATAATAAAAGAGCTTATAGATTAATTCTTAGAAGAGTTTCTACTCTTCTATTAAATTTATTATCAGATTCTTCTTATAATAAGAAGAAAGCTTAGCTATTTTTACTAAGCTGAATATCTCTATAAGATCTCTGTATTTCTCTAGTATCTGAAGCTCAGTTTTTATAATTATAAGATTCTCAGACACTTATAAAGTTATTATATAGATAAGCTTATCTTCTCTAATTAACTCTATAGTATCAACTGATTCTATCTTTATAAGTAAGTCTATTAACACTGATCAGAAGTATAAACCTGACTTATAGACAGCTATATATAAATTATATCTTTAAAGTTATATAAGTCTTAAATATATATTATCTATAATATCTATAATAATCACAGTTTCTATAAATCTTCTTCAGATTTCAGAGAGATCTTATAATTTAAAAATAACTTTTATAAGTCTCTTAACTCTCAGATCTGAGTTCTTGTATTCTACTTATTATAAGAGTAAATTCTTAGTTTTTATCTTTTAACTCATTTACTCTATAAGTTTTAGAGATATTATAGTAATCTGAGATTCTGAGTTTATTAATACTTTTCATACTTATAAGATAGTAGTACTGCAGTATAATCTCTCTTTATAAGTAAGTATTTTTATTAGAGAAGTAACAGATTCAGATATTAACTTTAAGACTCTTAAAAAGACTGTTACTGACTCTATTTATAACTTCTTAAATTTCTATTTTAATTTATTCAGATAGTTTGTACAGAGATATTTTGATTTAAAATAGATAAAGTAAAGTCTCTTTTTCTTAATCTCTCTATTATATACTTTATTTATAGAAGCTTATAAAGCTCTCTCTCTTTACTTAGTAGTCAGATATAAATCTCTCTATATCTTATTATCTTTTTCTAATAAATCTATTCTCTGTTATTCTGACTCTTACAGAGTTAATTAATGATTTACTCTCTACAGATTTATAACTCTTATAGTAATCTATAAATAGTGAATAAAAGTTATCAGTTTTTTCAGAGTTAAGAACTTAGAGTCTTATTTAATAAGCTTATTCTATATATCTTTATTCAGTTTCTTTATAAATATTATTATTTAAATCTTGTTTCAGAGCTCTATTTTCACAGATCTTAATTTATATTATAATTTTATAAAGTACTGTAAGTAGTTTTTATCAGATTTCTTATCTCTTTTTCTAATATTAATAATTATAACTCAGATATTCTCTATTCAGCTTATAAAGTCTTTTAACTTATTCTCTAGATAGATTTTAAAAATAGATCAGTAGAATCTCTTATAATTATTTTCTAAATAATTTAATCAGTTCTTAACTTCAGTATAATAGAGATCTGTTATTATATAAATAACAGCTTCTTCATCTTTTATATTACATAACTGAGCTTATAAGTCAATTTTAAATATAAACTTGTAAAAGCTTTTATAGATTATAATTTAATAAGTAATCTTAAGTAATCACAGCTTAAGAAAGTTTCTTTTCAGTTTATAGATATCTCTGAAGATTATATCTAGAAACTCAGTTTAAGAGTGTTTATAAGTAGTAAATATTTCTTATAAAAGAATAGTTTAATTCTGTAGAAGATGTTTAAAAATATTCTTTACTGAAATTAATTTATTTATAAGTTCAGAGAATTTCTCTATCATAGATATAAAGAATAATATTTTATAAGTAATTAATAAGTTCTCTGAGACTTCTTTTATAAGAGTTATTCATGATTCAGATAACTGCTTCTGAGTATCTGCAGTAGAGTTTGTAGAGATTAAAGTATATAAGTTTTTAATTCTTTCAGTTATAATAGACAGTTGCTGATTGACTGAGCTTGAAATGTAAGAATAAGTGCTTATAGATGATTATTCAGATATTTGCAGCTTGACATGATATATACTATTAACTACTAGAAGTATTCACAGTAGAAAGATAAAATGTAGAAGTCAAATGTATAATAGCATTCAAGCTGAGTTATGAATAGTATTCATAAACTCCAGTCTATATAGTTGTGTGTAGCCAAGGGCCGCTAGCTCTATTGATTACACAAGAGATAGGAATAGAGGTAAAGAATCCGCGAGGAGCGGGATTTCTTACACTATTGAACAGCACTTGACTCAGTTCTTTTTCTTCAAAGATCATTGAATTCCCTGTTCACTCTCTATTGATTGTCTCTGCTTCCTAGTTGATGATTCTCTGTATAATGCAGTGTTTAGCAGGTCTGAGCAAGGCTTAGCATATGTCATATATATCTAAGCAGTCGAGAGAAGGACAGAGAAAAGAGAAGATGACTTACATCAATTTTCAGCTTCAAAGTATGGTCTCTTGACATGTATTATACTGTCATTCAGATGTCTGATATGCCCTGTTTTCTTCCGAAGACTACAGCCATGATTCACAGGTACAGATATACTGACTTCTCAGATTGATGTATTGAGAGTGTGAAGAGCAACAGACTGAGAGAGGCTCATGTCTTTCAGAGTTAGAAGTGTCTCACTGCTACTGACAGGTGGGCTTCTCAGGGAGTTCATGGATTGAACCACAGAAAATTCATGAGTACATATTATATGAAGACAGTGACTAGAGCCTGCGCATTCAGTCAAAGCTGACATGAATCCTTCAGCAGGCTGAGTTGATTGCTGCTCACATGCTCTGCACACATGATAGGAACTTTTGTTTGAGGGCTGAAAGCCGCTGTAGAAATCACTTTGCAAAGGAGCAGTGTGGCAAGACATGGGCTTTGGGGCCTTCTTCAAGCCAGAATGCGGACCAGACAGACTGGCGCTTCTCAGCTGCTTCACAATCATCTAGGGATGGGGTATGCTGCACCGGCTCCGACCACTGATATGTGTTCACACTCAATTTGACTGGTCTGGAGAGAGCGTGTTGGTGAGAACTGGGGTATCCAGTCATCATAGAGGGCAGAATGAATAAACTGAAGAAGGCAGACAGGATGAAGGAGCAGTTTGCTGCAGTATTGTGAAAGGAGGCCATTCATGGGAGCAAGCTATCAAACGGAAGGGTTGCTCTCGAGGTTTTTTATTATCAGGGAATTAAGAAGCGGGCATGTGCTCCTTATACATGGAGTGGCGTACTTTACCCTCACCTGTCTTTCATTGTAACCTCTAGGGGTTTGTACAATCATGAAGCATTGCGAAACCCTGGGCTACGCCGATAGTCCTTTTGATAGTGGTGGAGAAACCTTCATCCAGTGCCAAGTTTGGATTTCTCAAAAATGGGTCGATATTGAAAATTTCTGTAGGAACCACACTGCGTCCGACTGGCCCAAGCATCGCACGCAGACTTTCATGCATTGCTGCCTGAGCAAGGTCACATGCATGTTGTCATCAGGAAACCAAGAGGATCCAAAGTATTGCCCCGCAGCAAGATCTGCTTTTTTACGGTTCTGAATGTCTTGCCCCTCCATTCAACAAGAAAATTTTACTGTCATCAGATATATCAAAGTCCGTCTGACTGTACAATCACTTAGGATAAAATCAACCCTTTCTGTCAGCTGCTGACTCCAAAGTGTGCTTAAGTTTGGTACGATGTTAACTCAAAACCACCAGCGCCATCTATTAACATCTAATAGATCAGTTTTCAACGGGCCCCTCTCCACACTAAAACAATGGCTGAAGCGGTACATATTCTGAAATCTAAGAGTGCTACCCAAGCTAATCGCGAGTTGTGACCTAGATTGGAGACATAATAGAGCAACAACAATATATAGCCTTCAAAATATTTAATGCAGTTAACTATGAAAGAACCATGATGTTCAAAGGCGCACTGCTCCGAGTATCAAAACCCGGGACCGCAAAAAACCCCCAGCTACCGGACAAGAGAGATATCAAGACGGAGGAGCCATTCCAAATTCCTAAGAACCATGAGGTGGAAGTGATAGACGGCTGGGTGACGCTGACCAGGTCCTCCGCATCCTGAATATCTCAATGATTCGATCTGCCTGTCTTCGACCAGCTCAAAGTGTGATGGAAATATCCTCTTCTACCTCTTCGGGTATCAAGACTGTCAAACATTCTGTTGTTGATTCCCCTGCTCTTTGTTCTGAAGCCCATTGATTACTAGCGCGCATTGCATCGGATAATAAGTCCCCAAGGAGGGGTGCGAGATTGGCTGGGGATTTTGAGAACATATATTGAATTTCTGCATTATTGTATTGTTAGAATTGTTTCAATGCATCTGGTATTGCGGCACTTACCTCTTGTATTCTGTGTTTGCTTCCCGGCGACCAGCTGTGCATCAGATACCTGCGTGTTCTGTGCCTCCGCTACACTACTCAGTGATCGAGATCCAGCTTCTGGCTCCCGCAAGTAGTTTTGCTGATCTGGTATGCATGCGTTTGTACTCTGCACCATCCTGCCATGGTGTAAATGCAATTGTGAATCGAGACTGTCATTCGTGTGGCCATCTGATGCCTCGTCTTGCAGAGGCGAATCATCGCGGTGTCACTTCCTGTGGCACTTATCACCCTCAACTTCAGTGTTGAACTCGAGCTTGAAGTACCCTAACTTCATCAGTCTGTTTCTCAGAGATTGGATTCGGAGCCGCACATTTCCTGAACTCAGATATGTTTTCTAAATCAGAGCTAGCTGCTATTGCCATTTGAATCTCCCGACGAAATATCCATTTTTCAGGCAAAGGCCTTGCATCCAGGTATGGTTTTGTGTAGTTCATCAAACATTCGAATTCGACGCGACCCATTTTTGTGATATCCAGTGAAGTATAGGCTCCCGCAATGAGTAGCAAAGCCTCGGGCGATAGGCCGCGTATCTTTTCCCATTGTAATACATGAGCTGAGATAGATTTTGCTTGACTCCTGTACAGGACTTCCAGAAATTTGCTGAACCTTCCATTCCTGTGAGGAAGGGGAGAGGATTTTCGCAGATGCTTGGCAAGGCCTTTCAATGAGTGATAGACTGAGGTCCGGGCAGATAGCCATGCAATTTTGTCTTTTAACTTGCTAAATGCCGAGTCATCCAAATCAATCTCACATATGCACTTGCTGATCTGGTCAATTTGCGTGATTATTTCTTCTAGAGTGGCCATTCTGAAAGAGTGCCTCACTTCTCTCTGGAAGGTTTGGCAACTCGCATGGTTTAAATCGCAAAAGTGCCAAGCCTAGAGTCCTCATATGAGAAGATGGGTATCCAATCAAAAGACACCTTGATCTGGTACCCGCTCATTCAAGACGAAAAGTTAGTTTGGTTAGATATCTCTCTATATATTATAGAAAAACCAACTTTTCCGAGTAAAATGCCCTGTAACGTGACCTCACGTGACATCACATGCACCCCATCAAAAATCCAATACTTCTCTGCCGCAAGGAGCAGCTCGGTGAGAACTGTCAGCTTTCAGAGAGGATAAGTCTTGCGCTTCCTCTGGCTCACCGACCATGTACTGTGGTTCTACACAAAACAGTGTTAATAGTGCCAGAGCCATAGAATAAAACAGAGCTGAGAAGTCAACCAAACAGATCAAGGAGCAAAACCCGCCTTCCAGCTTTACAGTGATTACAAACATTAGGCTTAGTTTAGCATTATTCAAGCATTCGCCAATTCATGGAGCGGAGCAAGCATAAGATAGTCAGCATGAGTGTCTTCAGGCTCACTTTTACAAAACAGAGGCAGAAGCAGCTGTGCTTCCTACCAAGAAATGTTTTCAGAGACAGGCACTCTCAGTTCTTGTTGAATGTACACTGCCTGAATGACAGTCATCCATTTTTGAAAGTAGTGCGGATTGATGTGAGGAACAGATGATTTGGTCTCTCCTCAGCATTACTGGCCAAGCCTGACATTTGAAAGGGAAGCCCCACAATGCATTTCTCAATACAGACTCTCACGGGCTGTCCGGCTTGATCCGCGGTGCTCAAAATGGGCCGATGTTCAAGATTAGGTGCAGGCGCTACATACCTTTGGATTCACCAGCCAAGAAAGCGCAGTCTGGTTGGCATTGGTTTATTCCAGCAATTAGTACATCTTGGCGAGGTCTGATCGCTCAGGATGTGACCACTTTTGCCCAGCTACTTGAAGCTAAACGGCTTGAACATCAAGCCAGCGAGACATGACGCGCGGTCGGCGATGCTCATCTGAGCGCCCTTCGTCGGCCCAGGTTCAGATAAATGGGGGCCACATTTCTTGATTTTGCGGCTTTTCGTCGGGCGGAAGATTTATTTCAACCTCTTGTTTGGTGATCATCTCACAAACTTTGCCTCTGCTTCTCAGTTCATCAAAGCTCCTTCAACCTGTATGTTTTTGACAGAACTCATGAATCAGTGATTTCATCTAACTTGAGATGAAGCATTATCTGAACAGTAGAATCGACAGTGATCCTCACTAGTTTACACAATAATCAACAAAGCAAGTTGTGAAGTAAGGATTTCCGGAAATTAGGGGTGAGATAGAGTAATAATCTAAGGAACAGATACCACCGACAATGAGTACCACCTCTGGTAGAAGTGGTTGGTGCAAGGCAGTCGAATGCCAGCATGCGAACAATGAGCACGCATACGAGACATGCCGGGCCCCGAACTGCCGAACCCAGTGGAAGCCAGGCCCCGAACTGCCGAACCCAGTGGAAGCGCTGTCAAGTACGTCTTAATTGCAATGGAGTGCATTACAGGATCTGCAAGAGATGTCATTCCCACCCTGGCGGCAAGCCCGACTTTTGGGGAAGTTCTCCAGAACCGTCGGGCTAGTCAGCACCAGTTTCCATGCAAGCACCTTTGTCAAAGCTTGGGACTGGTGAGGGTGCCGTGGGTTGGTCAAGCCACTCTTCAAGTCCTTTTAAGTGTTCATCTGAAGCATGGCTCGCACTGTTTTTGTCATCAGACATACCTGTCTCTTCGTCACTCTCATCTTCAAGTTGGAGCCACTCGTCTCTATATATTTTCTCGGGCGGTGTTCCTTCGCCGTTAATCATAACCCATCGAAATAAGTCAAGCGACGCTTCCTGAGACGCCTCTTGGCTGGGAGATTTTCGTGGGAAGACTGTATCCAACATGTTGATAGCTGTGCTACTTTCGTCCAATCTGTCGCTAGATGTTTTGTCATATTCTTGGCCTTCAACTATTGACCCATTCTCCAATATCCAATTCCATTGTGCATACTCAAGATGGTGCCTTGGGCACCGCAGATGAGCGGCAACGCGCAACACACATTGGCCGGCAGTGGTGCTCCCGAATGGAGCCCACGGGGTGAACAGCGGACTGTTATAATATAATCCATCGTCAACAACAGGGGGGAGGTACAGAAGACGCCACACATCGGCTCTTTGGACTTCATTAGATGTATTATTCAAGATATATGACCCTGTTCCTAGGAGATTCATAAAACTCTGCGGACATCCTGTCCAGGGAAACGAATTGGGGTCAACAGGAGGTCTGCCCCTTTGAACTTGACAAAGAATAATTGGGGTCAGACCGCTGGTAACGGCACCGAGCCAGAGGGTGAATATTTGTGGTTGATGAAAGCTGCATATGACTGCGAGGATTTCGTAGTAGAGCCCAGGAGTGGAAGAAAATCTTGGGCATTCTGGAATTTCTTGGAGGATGGGGTGAAGCCACGGGCTCACCATATTGCATGTGACGGTAGGCTCCCAGAACATTCCGCAAAGAGTTGATGTAAGTGTTTCCAGGCTGCAACTCAGAGTCATGTAGTAAGAAAGTTCTTTGTCCACAGTTGGCCAGCCCAGAGCAGTGGAATTGGCGGAGTCGACTCCCTGTTGGGCATGGTTATTGGCAGGAAGAGGCAATGGAAGGGGTAGTTGAATAGCAGTGCCATGGTGGTTGTGTGCAGGAAATGTCAATGCTGTTGCAAGAGCAACAGGCAGCTGGCTGTCCAAATTATGTTGTTGGGAGAACTGCACAAGGAACTCAAATGCCTTGTTGAATGATGGAGGACTGGAAGCAGCAACATCTTTGAAAACCGGCTCCTTCAATTCCCATCTGATTTCGATATCACGCATATGTTTATTGAGACAGACCAAGGCGTCACAAACTCTTGATCCATCTGTTGAGATATGATGGCTTTCCAACCTTGGCCAGGTGCCAAGAGAGCTGACCACCATCTCGCTACATCTTCATCCACCTTGCCAATATCAATAGTGACCGACGAGGAACCGTGGCTCTTGCTCTGCTGAATCCTTGTGTGCTTCAAGTCTGTATATGCCATTTCGCAGTTCTTCACTTGCAACTTCAACAACCGAGCAGAGAGAATGTATGACCAGCCTAGGGCTAAAATTCCCAGGTAACTTGGTGCTCTGTTTCCCTCGCCTGAAATACTAGGCCATTGATGAAAGCTCTTCCCGCCAAACTCGCATGGAATGAGTGTGCGGCTGCCTATATGAAGTAGTCTGGGAATATCTCTCTTTTTCCCAACAACGCCACATTTTGCCGTGCCGGTAATGTGCCAGGTAGATGAGGCTTGAATGCAAAGTGTTTCACTCGGGGATGAATCAAGATGCAGTATCATTGTTTTGCCTTGCCTTGTGCTGATTGTGGGGAGGCAGTTTAGGGTGCCTCGAAGGCTCGTTAAGATAGGCGGAATTCCTTTGCAGTGCCGGGTAACTGCCATTGCAGTAAGATGATACCAGTAATCCTGAGATCTTTCCATTGCAACTTCCAGCTGTTGGGGAGTGGGCTGAAGCTGGTCATGATTGTTTATGATCTAGAGAACGTTAATTACCATTAGGAAGATAGAGATGGTGAAGGCGGTATTACCATTGAGAGGTCAGGCGGCTCTAAGAGCCCATGCTCAACCAGCACCATGTCTGCTCGACGCAAATTAATTGACATCAAAGACTTCAGTATGATGAATTGGATGAAGGACTGGCAGCGAAATGAGGTTGGGAGAATGGATGGCTATGATGACATAAAGGCGAGAGCTGGGCTAACCTAAATAAGTTAGACCATAGCTGATAGGGCTAGCTTACGAGTTCTTGGCTTGTTCAACTTGTGGCTTAATCCCCGTCTCCTGCGCAAACCGATGTTAGCATATTCAAAAAATCTGTGAACTGATGAGCAAAACTTCTAGCTAGAAATCCAAACAACACCACTGCCCACTCACAGCCGCCCTGTCCGCAGCATCCAGCATTTCATCGCAGTGGGTCCAGGCTCGCATGGCTCCTTCCGATGAGTTCGAACAAGAGATGGTAGAAGGGAAATACTGACACATTTGTGATGCCTAGGTTTCTCCTTTCTTTGGCTGTTCCAACTCTCCATCGGTGTAGAAGTCTTAAGAGGTGTCCGAAACCAAACTGGATAGAGAAGGAGAGTATGAAGGCGAGTCCTAGAAGACAAGATTTTTTGCTGCCAATACAAGAAGAGCATGCAGAAGGCATATGAAGAAGAATCTGGCATCACTTGCACTGGTGGTTTTGTATTTCCCTAGCCAAACATCGAGATATAAATCATTTGTTTCTTTTCCTGCCTAGACAAAGTCAGCTAAACCCTCTTAGAAGTCCCGGACAACATCATGGCCTCGGAGGCAATGTATTTATTCATGCTAATTTTCGACCTTGCTTGTTTTCCTATCCATGTACAATAATAGTTCATAGCCAGCGTATAACATAATCCACTAGTCAACGAACACCACTAGTCAACGAACAACCCGTTCAAAATCTCTATGACCATAGTAGATAATGAATAATTCTACAACAACCCAGTCAAAATTAATAAGCTATTGAATATTACATTAGGAGATTCTAATCTCTCTATATATTAAAGAAAAACCAACTTTTCCGTGCAAAAAACGCTGTAACGTGACCTCATGTGACATCACGTGCACCCCATCAAAAATCCATGGATACGTAGTGGCGCCTGCCAATTGCACCACTCTATCTACCCCCTATCTTCACCACCGCCTCTACG